AATCAATCAATCAATCAATCAATCAATCAATCAATCAATCATTTAATCGATCAATCAATCAATCAATCAATCAATCAATCAATCATCAATCAATCAATCAATCAATCAATTAATCAATCAATCAATCAATCAATCAATCAATCAATCCATCCATCCATCAATCAATCAATCAATCAATCAATCAATCAATCACATGTTTTTTCCTATTTTTTTAATTTTTTTTTAACATATAAAAAATCAGCCCCCCCCCAAATTTTCGATTTTTTTTTTTTTTTTTGCATAGGCCTGCAGCGGCCAACGTGCGCAGGCCAACGGCGCACGCGGATTTTGAGGGCGTGCGCCCGCCTGCATGTGGCGCGGCCGCGCGGCCTGCGGCCTAGGATCCTGGCCGCGGACTCGGATCCTGCGGCCGCGGCCTAGGGTGCCACGTAGCCTACAGGACAATGGCTGGAGGACGTGCAGAATGACGTCGAGCGAAAAGGGTTCCCCGGGGGTGTGGGCGCAATAGATTGCACCCATCTATATATAGAGAAGTTTAAGGGAGAGCGATCAAGTGTTATTATCACCACACCGGGGAGTTTTCGGTTGTTGCACAAGTCGTGTGCCACTACGAGTGTCGGATTTGCAGCGTTTTTGTGGGATGCCCGGGGTCTGTGCATGATTCCAGAGCTGTGCGCATCTCGCCACTCTACGAACAGGCTACGTCGGGTAGAGGAGTTCTGGCTGAGGGGGGTGCCATGCTACACGACGGTAGACATATTGGGCGGTATCTGCTTGGTGATCAAGGGTACCTCCTTCTCCCGAGGCTCATGACTCCTTTCGGCCGGTTTGCTGTGACGTCGGCGGATCGTGCCTTCGACGTGAGTCACGTTGCAGCGAGGTCGTGCATCGAGCGGACATTCGGCCGTTTGAAGGCGGTATGGAGGAACTTCATTCGCAGACACATTTGCAACTTGAAGACCGTCTGCAAAGAGTTCATGGCCGTGTGCATTCTTCACAACCTCATGATCGACCATAGCGTGGAGATCGACCCGGCGTTGATGGAAGACAACAGTGACAGCGATGGAGACAATCACCATCGCGGGGACCGTAGGCGACGCAGGCGCTGGCGCAGGTTCAACCGTCGTATGCCGGACTTGAACATCGAGGCTGTGCCGGAGGATGACCCTACTTATGGGAGGGATCTCGCCAAACACGTCAGGGCAAGCCTGGTTGAGCACGTGCGGCACCACACTGCAGTCCACGGAGCTCCGGCGCTATGCCCGTGGCAGTAGTGGTGTTCTGTCGACGCAAAAATCGCATGTGTCTCCCCTCGCATTCGGGGAGATGGCGAAAGGGTCGAAGATGAGGTTGCTGTAGCTGATGGTCGATCATCTACACCGGTGTCTTCGTAGAGAAGTCGTGTTTGTGTCATTTACGTCGTTCGTAGATCCTATCGGGTTAACAGGAGCGTAGTCTTCGTTAGACGCACCGGAAGATTGTGTCCGCGACGGGGGTCTTGGAAAACCCGTTGGTGCGAATTCCATGGTCGTTGTGCTTCGTAATTGTAATTGGTAATCACTTTTGTTGGTTGTCTTCATTCACAGTCGGTCATGATTTTTGTTCGTTTCGTCATGTAATATTTGTTCACCCATGCATATGAACACATAAATCAAAGCATTTGATGTCGGCGAACACAGAAAGGGCAGAGCATTCCTTTGATTTCGCAATGTAATCTTTGTTCACCCATGCACACAAACCATACGAATTTAAGCAATTAATGTTGTGAAATGTATAAACGGAAATGATATACCACCCATGCATATGAACATATGAACATATAAATTCACCCATGCATGTAAAGATATGAACATATATCTTTACAGAAAGCGGGATAAAAGTTTCCACTAATAACATCCGGACATATTAGACGAACACACACGACGATCATTGCTTAGACGACCATAAAAAACCGAATGCAAAATTCGCGACAAAAGCCTTCAGCACACCCAACATGAACATGAAATCGGAGCACAATAACAGCACGCTGTCCGAGTAAAGAAGTCGCCCAGCAATTGGTTTCAGGGCGACACACACAAAATAGCGACGATGACTACAAACACAAACATGCACGTAACCCAAAAAAACATTACAAAAAAACAACAACAACAACAACCGATAGCCAGAATCCGAAACGGGCTACAAAAATCACCGACTCCTTTACGAGTTCGTTTATATACGTAATGGAATGACTTTAAATTTCGTCGATACTTGTGCCGTTGGGACGATTCACCCGAGCGGACGATATCATCACCATCGTCATCGTCATCATCATCGCCGGGGACATTATCGCCATCATCATCATCACCATCATCATCATCATGATCATCATCATCATCATCATCATGATCATCATCTTCATCATCATCATCATCACCATCACCATCACCATCACCATCACCATCACCATCACCATCACCATCACCGTCATCATCATCACCATCATCATCATCATCACCATCAACGCCATCATCACCACCATCATCATCGCCATCACCAACATCACCATCACCATCATCATCATCATCATCATCATCTCCATCATCAGCATCATCAGCATCATCAGCATCGCCATCATCAGCATCACGACGTCACCAGCGCCCCTATCGTCATCAACAACATCATCATCATCATCATCATCAACATCATCATCATCATCATCTCCCCCGCCAGCGCGGCAGTCCGCGGGACTGACAGTATTCTGCACCCCCGACGCCGTCATCATCATCATCATAACCGTCGGCGGTGCATCTACGGCCAGAAGACTCTCTCTCTCTCTCTCTCTCTCTCTCTCTCTCTCTCTCTCTCTCTCTCTCTCTCTCTCTCGTGAACAACAGACGAACGAACGGACTCCAGCGAACCCGGAACACACAAAAGATGGGCATTCATGGCGCTTCGGCTGTACACGTCCTCTGTCTTCGGTCGGTGTGACAAGCACCGCCGATTCAAGGCCTCACTTCCCCGTGCAAATACGGCCTGCCCACCAACGGCGAATCAAGAGTGCACCTCCAAAATGGGAGCGGATCCAGGCGGTCTGCATACAGGTCGGCAAGTGTGGAGATGTAAAGAAGCACGATCTCCCCCGCCAGATCAACGGGATGGCCGCCCCACTCGTTGGGGATCACATCCCCGACCTTCGTGACGAAGATGAGCACATGTCCCAGGTTGTTTCCGAAGAATCCCAACCCCACCTCCATCTTCATAGCGGGGACCCCATCGACATCGACTTCATAGAAACAGATGGAGCGACATGTCATGCCAATCGCGAACTCGAAGTCCCTCGTGTGGTACCCGTCCTGGTGGTGGATCATCTCGTAGACCATAACCCCCCTGCCGTCGATGAGACCACGACAGAAGACACGCACATCCATCCCTCTGCGTGCCCCTCCCTCCGCTCTCTTTTTGCCTCTCGCCAGATCCCTCCCCTTCTCGCTAATGCGAAATGGAGCTGGCCGATTCTACGGTCACTATGCGGTGGACCGCGCACCCCCACACCCTCCACACGCCACTATACAACCAACATCACCAGCGGAGACAGCCCGTGTCGGCATGGTACTCCCTCGCCTCTGGAAAGTGCGATCACTGCCGACGCGAACCCGTTCTTTATACATGTGCCTTGGGATGGCCCGCCGGGGTGGTGCGTTGTCACAATCGGCGTTTGTGGCCGTGCGCACAAAGAACAATTTTTTTTTTTTCCCCATTAATTCGTATCCTAATTGACGATTCTGTCCTCCGGCAGAAATCGAACGGCCCTGCACATGTCCCCGGCGATGACAGTCGACCGTCGAGAGCCCCATGCACGTATATATGTACATATATACATGCATGAGACTCTCGACGGTCGACTGCAATCGGCGGGGACATGTGCACAGCCTGTTTGATTTCTGCCGGAGGACACATCTATATATATATATATACATATACATATTTATATATATATGTATCTCACGGAGATGAAGGGTCTGTATCCCGACCCGCTTTGGTGGAGTGACCTCCATTCGCTCCCTTGCGGGCTAGAACCCCCACTAGCAACTCGAGAACACTGTTCCCACCCCGCATTGCGTCGGCCACATCCCCTATCCGAGCAGCGATTGCGGTGTCCGCGTCTGCGGTGGCTTTGGCAAGGGAGGTGGCCGCTTTGTCCAGGCCATCACAGTACGAGCGTGTAGAATCTTCCATGACCCTCCCCATACTCGTGCCACCGCTACTGCCATCTTCCCCTCTCGCCTTCCCAACGACCGTCCACCTCACTTTCGCAGAATTGTCCGACTCCTCCGCGCATCTTTCATCCGATCCTCCCGCCGGTGGTGGATCTGTTCCATCCCCCGATAGGTTCTCCGAAGCCAGCGTGTTGTCACACCTCATCGACGACCGGTTTAGTTGCCACTGCATAGCGTCCCACATCGGTTTTTCAAAAGAAAGCGGGAGATTCTTCTCCTTTCGTTCCTCCACAGATAGATCCCAATACGACGGCTGTCCAGACGCGTGACACTTTTCGACGATGAGCTTCGCCGTCTGCAGCATGTTGGACCACTTCTTGCGACAGTCTTCGGCGGTCCTGTGTTTGAAGCCAGCGTCCTTCATCCTATCGTTCACCCATGCATACCGCTCTTTCCTCTGCTTGAATTGGTGTTGGCCGTTAGCATCCGCCATAAGGCCATCGTCCTCGCCCATAAGGAATGCAAGCTTCACTCGCTCGTCCAATGTCCATGGCACGCTTTGCTTCTTTTGAGCCGGAGGTCAAGCATTCGCCGGCCGCCTGCTCCCCTTCCCGCCTGCCGCACCCCGGCCCTGCGCATCACCCTGCTCGGCCATCGACCTTGCCATCACTGGAACAACACTTCCGTGCTCTGCATGACCGTCTTCGTCGGCTCCTTCGGAAACGGCGGTGCCTTCGTCGTACGGTGAATCCATGCGAGTCTCTGGAGACACCGACCTCGTGTTCATCCGATTCCATGGGTCGTCCGTGTGAACCCCCAGTTGAGGAGATGGAGAACACCGCATGCCGAACGACCGTACCGTGCTCTGGGTGCATTGGGGAGACCAAGGTGTGCCACCCATGTCCATGTTCTGTGCACCCAGCGCCGGCATGCCAAAACCTGCACCCATGCTCGTCCCTTCTGCGCATGCCCTCGCTGCATACAAATCGCACTGCTGTTGGACGGAGAAAGAGTGATCATCAACGGCAAAACCGCCGTCGCCCCGCATGTCCACTGCCGGTGGACCACCACGCAGAAGGCCTGCATGCAACCTCTCGGGAGACTGTCTACCACACCCTCTATCGAAGGGCAACGACAGGGAAGGCGCACGTGAGGGGAAGTACGGACGTTGCACGGCCGACGTTGATTGGCGCACGGCGCCAAAGGAATGCATGCTCGGGACCCCCTGCCCGCGAGAATGGGGCCGTGCATGCACACGGCCGTTGTGCATGTCAATACTGCCATCGGAACTAACTTCGACATCACCCGTCCAACGTGTGGACTCCATAACCGAACTGCCACCGGAGCACACCGCCTAATCAACAATGAAAGGTGGCACCTTTGGCCCCACCCGTATGGAGGATGACTACAGACGCCTGCAGAGAAGGCCAATGGCAACGAACGTAACAACTAACGACAAAAGCAAGACCCCTACCACAAAGACGAGGACGACAATGACTGCTACGCCCACAACGAGCAGCGACACACCGTCCACGCGGCCGCCACAACGCCTGTTCGCCACGACGACAACCACAGGACATTCCCTCACACAACTGCAGCGACACCCCCCACCAGACCCATGTGCAGATGGCGCCGTGCTGTCTCCGATTGCCACGTGTCCACTGTTGACGTGCACACGCTCTCCTGCACTTCTGCCAACATCCGCTTGTCGATTACACAACGGAGGACCTGCGCTGCAGGCTGGAGATCGCGGGGAATGGACGACGAAAGATGCGGACGGGGTTCTCTGTGGGGCAGCCGTCGGAGTGAACGACGACAACGACGTTGGAACAACCACGTCACCACAACCACTGCCATGGAAAGAGGCTCACGCAGCTGCACGTCCCAAGCTGAACACAGGAAACTGCAGTAGCGTCCGAACCGCAGTGGAGGCATCCGAATGCGTCCAACGACGACTCCACAAAGGACGACCATGGGACATGGAAGCACCTTGGACGGAAGCCACACGTCCGAAACGTGCAAGTCCTGTGAGTACTCGCATGGCAGATCGACCTTCCACCCGGTGCTCGAACGAAGAAGACAACTGCAGACCAGCAAGGTCGTGACAAAAATTGCGGCCACGTGATCGACAGAGAGCACAATGGCCTGTATTCCTTCTCTCCGCCCCAAATACTTGTTGGCACGGTGGAAAATTCCGTTCAAACACCGTTTGAATTCAAATTTGCCGCTCCTGCGTTTTGACATGCAGCGGGACCACAGCGGGGGACCATCTCAAGGGACCGCGTACGGCCCGTTTCGACGAAAAGTGCGACACGCCGTTCGACCGCTGCGTTTCGGCCTGGCCCGCCCCGATGTCCGCGACGCCCGTTTTCTGAACCAGACGTGGCCGGCAGTGATGGAAACTTTTCGGCACTTTCGAGCCCCTATCCGTCTGGAGGACGTTTTGGAAAAGGACCGCCGGTTTCTGGCGGATATTTTCCAGCTGCCAGTCGTGTAGAAACACGACCAGCAGTGTTTCCAGAATGGCACTGGGGTCTGTAAACGACGTTGGCATACCGCCGGCGGTGCATCTGGCGGCCCAATGGGGTCCGCAATTGCCCTTCCATGCCAAAACTCTTCCAGCCGCCGGCCAGTGGGGTCCGAGCCTCAGCCGTAGCGGCTGTTCCGACACAGCGTTGAGTAGAAGGGTGCGGGTCTTGCTGCGGAGCCTGCAGCACGAGCCTGGGTGGGGCAGGTCTTGGTGCAGATTCTTGATGGTAGTAGCAAATATTCAAATGAGAACTTCGAAGGCCGAAGTGGGGGTTGTTCTATCTTTTCTGCTGCTGGGACAGCTTGCCGCATATCCAAAACTGCGGCAGCCTCCCACCGGTGTCCCCTTGCTCAGTCCCCACCTCTCGGAATAAGTAAAATAATAAAAATAAAAATAAAGATAAAAAATAAAAATAAAAATAAAAATAAAAATAAAAATAAAAATAAAAATAAAAGTAGCGGCATTTCAACATGTGCTGCAAGCTCCCACCTACCCACCTTCAGTGGAGTTCGAGCTCAGGTCTGCGTTTCAACAGTTAAGGGGGTGTACCACTGAGCTAGACCTGCCGGCAGGAGTTCCCACAGGCCTATTTTCAGCAGTTCGCGGGTGTACCAACTGAGCTGGGTCCGCAGCTGCTGGTCCCACAGGCCTGCTCACACCCAACCTTCTCGCTTTTCGCAGCAGGCTGCGATTAACGGGCGGTGTATCCCCTGGCCATGGCTGCCCAGGCCTATTCCACCACCCCGCTGACCCCGATGCAGACCTTGGCGATAGTAGCAAATATTCAAATGGGAACTTTGCAGGCCAAAGTGGCCTGCTGCTGGGACAGCTTGGGCCGCAGAGCCAGGACTGCGGCAGCCTTTTTCCGTAGCCCCTTGGCCCCGCCCAGGCATAGTTCACCACCTTGCGGGCCCTGGTGGGTATACTCACACTCGACCCTCTCTCAACAAATTGTGGCTGGCGGACGGTGCGCCCGCAGTGACCCCCGCCACCCGAGTTTCTTTCCGCCTCGTGGGATAATTACCCACCGGCTCGCATGCACTTTGAACTCCCCGGTCCAAGTTTCAAGACGGGCGGATAGAGAAATTTTATCAGCATCCAGGGCACGCCGAAACCCGAGCGGCCCCGCCGAAAGGGCATGTGCTCAAAGTCCTCGACGGTTGTGACCGCCACCCGGGTCCGGCCATATAGCACTTGAGTCAGGCCCGTCAGTCCCGACGTCGGCCTCGAACTGAGCCAAAGGCTTCAGTAAAAATAAAAGTAGGAATAATAATAATAAAAATAATAAAATAAAAAGAAAACGCAAGGGACACACAAAAAAGTAAGGGGACGAAGGGCAGTGCGTCCTACTGGCCTGCGACGCCGCGCACACCCAGGCCCCGCGTGGTTGCACCCCTTCGTTAACACACCGCGTGTTCCCCTCACCCGGGCAAGGACTCAATTCTCACCCGGAAGTGCGCCGTCAACTTCGGACGAGGCCGCACCGGCATGACTTACAAAAATAAACACGCCAAATACCCTTGTAAGGGTATTTGGAACGACAGTCCTCCCAAACCCTATTAAGCGACGTACCCTTGTTTTTAGTCAAGCATCACGTAGAGCTAGGATAAAAGGTTCATTCTGGCGCCCGACTCAGGGTGAAGAGGCTGAAGTCCGGTCTGTATCAGCATTTTTCCATGTTTCTAAAGGGATGCTGGACCCGTTTTCCAGCAGGTGCAGCTCCCCACCAACAGACGGAGTGATCCATAAAAGCCTTAGTAGGGAGGGATGCTCTTATCACCCTGCCTACGAGGGCTTACTGAATCTCAAAAAAAAAAAAAAAAAAAAAAAACCCGTTATCAGCTGGGGGCCATGTCCCACTACTAGTGGGGGTTTCGTTTACGTATCCGTGTATTTTTCAACGTGTTCACGTTATGGCCGTGATATTTTCAGATTGAATGGCAGAGAACCATATACTCGAAACCAGAACGAAACCTTGACAAGTGGACGTGGCCCTAGGTAATCAATGCTTTTTTTTTTTTTTTTTTTTTTTTTTTTTTTTTTTTTAAAAGGCCCTTGTGCAAGGCCTCTATCCTGGTGGTGGTAAGAGAACCACCGGGATTGAGGCTTTGCCTGGTGGGCCGCTCCATCTATTGGTGGGGAGCAACACCTGCTGGAAACCGGGTCCAGCGTCCCTTAAATACAACTTGACAAAACAGTACATCTTAGAGAGTGATGCCATTGTGTTGGAAACCGGGTCCAGCGTCCCATATCCAATCTACTCTCCCCTACCAAACTGCAGCAGGGTCGGGTATTGGGGGGAGAAACCCCGGGGGGCACCAGGGGAGTCTCCCTTCCTCCCCTAGCCTCTGCCATCCACCTACTATCCTCATGGCGCCTAGTGTGTCTTGCACTCCATAATAGCATACGTTGAGAAAGGCTAAGATAACAGACAATGCAGAAATAGACAGGAATGTGCTGCACAGACGTCAGTTGAAATCTTCTTATTCGTTATTTTTCGAAAGCTTTTTTCTTCAGTGAGAGTGACGCTACTGTGCTGGAAACCGGGTCCAGCGTCCCATATCTGATCTATGTGTCCAATCCAACCCCTGCTGGAAACCGGGTCCAGCGTCCCATTCCTGATCTATGTGTCCCTCGAAGAGGGGGAAAAATTTCTTCTAAGGCCAAGGGGTGAGGAGAGAAGGGGTCTGCAAACTCTTGAGCGGGGCGTAACCTATCGCCATGATCTATGTTGGTCCAGTCGTCGAAGATCAGCTGATAGTCTCTTGCTATCTCTGCCTGATGTCCTTCTGGCAGTTGTCCTTCCTGCTGACGATCCCTTGACCATCTTATCTCAGCCACCCACCCTTCTCTTGCCCCTCCCAGCCAGTCTTGACTGAATCGGGAGATAATCCGAGTGATGTCTCCCCAAGAGTGCATTTGGTCAAGCTTATCCCTGGCTGCCTTCCACTGAGCTGCAATTTCGTGTTGGATTAACAAACGTAATTGTTCCATGACTTCTCCTTCCTCCACCCGTGCCCCTTCTACTTCCGATATGCATCTTTTCCACGAGATAGTCCAAAGAACAGCCCGCCTGCCTAAATGGAACATGTTCTCCTCGAATGTGTTCCCCGGATTGGGGGGGAGTGACCTAGTAATATGGCCCGCCATTCCCATGGCCATTCTGCATTAGGGACAATGTGTCGCGAGATCCTGTCCCAACTCCTCCATAATAGTACCGATGTTGGGCATTGGAGGAAGATGTGTTCGATTGTCTCAGCACGTTTTCTCCCTGGGTAGCTCTGAAGGCAGCTGTGGCACTATGGTAATGCCCGTCTTTGCTGTTCCAAGCGGGTATGCTCTATCAACCAGTCATTAGTTGGCAGACATCGAGGTGCTATTTGCCATTGGAGGGCAACAGTCTTTGTGGGTCTGCCCCCGTAGTGTATGAACCATCGGATGGGTTTGAGCAGGCTGCGGTCCACGTTGAGATGCCTATACTATCTGTCCTCTACTAGTTCCCGCAGTCTTTGCTTAGGACGGAGCATTTGGTAGACTGATTTGCCTTTCAAATTATGTAACATTAGTTGTTTTGCTGTCCCCTGCCTAATCCGGCCTTCCTGGGACCAGTGCCACTCATCAGGGTCGAGGGGAAGTTCCTCAATCAGGGTCGATGGTCGGTATGCTCTCCAGCATCTGCCATCATCTAGAACTCTGATACGATATATGCTCGTGTTGTCTTTCCAGATGAAAGACTGCCGGCTTCCTCGTAGCTCACCATCCCTTTGGACGGAGAAAACCTCAATCAGGGTTTGTGTTTGATTGGTAATATGCACCCGCCCTATTTCCTTATCGTGGCCGGGTAGCCCTACCCAGTCTCCTTCCTTCAAGTGAGGGCCTTTTCGAAGGGTACTGTACC